CAACCTAGATGCCCATCAACAGATGAATGGATAAACAAACTATGGTACATACACACAATGGAGTATTATGCAATGATAAAGAACAATGATGAATCTGTGAAGCATCTCATAACATGGATGAAACTGGAGAACATAATGCTGAGTGAAATAAGTCAATCACAAAAGGACAAATATTGTATGAGACCTCTACCGTAAAAACTCAAGAAATAGTTTACACACAAAAAAACAATCTTTGTTGGTTACAAGGGATGGGAGGGGTGGGGGGGAATACTAAATAGACAATAGATAAGTGGTAACTTTGGTGAAGGGTAAGACAGTACACAACACTGTGGAAGCCAGCACAACTTGTACAAGGAAAGGTTATGGAAGCTCCACAGACACATCCAAACTCCTTGAGGAACTGAATTGCTGAGTGGAGGGCTGTGGGGACCATAGTCTCAGGGAACATCTAGCTCAATTGGCATAACACAGTTTATAAAGAAAATGTTCTACGTTCTACCTTGGTGAGTGGCGTCTGGGGTCTTAAAAGCCTGTGAGCAGCCATCTAAGATACTCCACTGGTCTCACCCCTTCGGTAGCAAGGGAAAATGAAGAAAACAAGATACAAGGGAAAGATTAGTCCAAAGGACTAATGGACCACAACTATCATGGCCTCCACCAGACTGAGTCCAGTACAACTAGATGGTGCCCAGCTACCACCACTGACTGCTCTGACTGGGATCACAACAGACGGTCCCAGACAGAGCTGGAGAAAAATGTAGAACAAAATTCTAACTCACAAAAGAGACTAGACTTACTGGCCTGACAGACTGGAAAAACCCCGAGAGTATGGCCCCCAGACACCCTTTTGGCTCAGTAATGAAGTCACTCCTGAGGTTCACCATTCAGACAAAGATAAGACAGCCCCATAAAACAAAATGAGACTAATGGGGCGCAACAGTCCAGGGACAAGGACTAGAAGGCAGGAGGGGACAGGAAAGCTGGTAATAGGGAACCAAAGGTTGAAAAGGGATAGTGTTGAGATGTCATGGGGTTGTTAAGCATTGTCATAAAACAATATGTGTACTGTTTAATGAGAAACTATTTCTTCTGTAAACTTTTATCTAAAGTACAATAAAAAACAAAAAGAAAAGTGCTCAAAACAGATAGTTATACACCAGTGTTCCTTGCAACACTATTCACGATAGCCAAAAGGTGGAAACAGCCTCAAGGTCCACTAACAGATGAATGGATAAACAAAATGTGGTACAGATGAATGGAAAAACAAAATGTGGTACAAATATACAACGGAATACTACTCAGCCATAAAGAGAAATGAAATACTGATACATGCTACAACATGGATGAATCTTGAAAACATTATGCAGAGTAAAATAAATCAGAAAAAAAAGGGACAAATATTGTATGATTCCACTTATATGAAATATGTAGAATAGGTAAATGTACAGAGATCAAAGTTTATCAGTGGTTACCATGGTGGGAGGGACAGCGGGGAAAAGGGGGACTCACTGCTTAGAGGACACTGACCTTCTGTTAAGGATGATGGGGCAGTTTAAAAACAGATAGTGGTAGTGGTTGAACAACATGATAAACATAACTAATGTCACTGAATTGTACCTGTAAAGAATGTCAAAATGGCAAATGATTTGTTACATATATATTTACCACAATTAAAAAAAAAAAGAAAAAGAAACTTGTTCAGTCAGACAGCTCGCCAATGGCAGAGCTAGGATCTGAATCTGACCAGTAATTTTAATATTTTTTAGTTCCAGACTCTTTTCCTTCTGTGCACACTGATATTCTTATATAAGTGAAAACTACAGTTTCTTGGCAATTTATCTACTTACATAACATCCAGAACATACTCCAGGCTTTTTTATTTTTCACAGGAAACCAAAAGTAAACGTTCCAACATGACATAATGTTTTGTTTGGTTCACACAATTTATTACCAAAATGAAATAAAAAATAGGAGTAGGAGAAAAAGCAATTATTTTCTAATATTAATCTTTTCAGTTAGACACCAAGACAAATGGGAGAAAAATCCTGTTAAAGTCTGTAAACCTCCCACACTTTTCCTGAAATTCCTCCATGATCTTTTACATGAAAGTACAATTACGACTGCAGAACACGAATGTTGAATTCACCACCAAATAA